CGCGACCCCTGCGGCGATCGCCGCCACTATTGGAACAACTTCCCTGACCTCTGAGGCAATGTCCACCGCTTCTGGGGCCATTACTCTTCCTAGGGTCTCCTCCACTTCCCCCCCTCTGCCTCATTCGCCACACTGGTCTCTTCTGCCCTCACTTCCTTCTTTCTTTTCTGGACAGGCTCTTCTTGACTCCTTCCTTTCTGGACCCCCTCCCAACGACTGCAGTCCCAAGTTTAAGGCAAACAACACCGACGGTAGGACCAGCTCGTCCCACCTTACTCATTTCTCCTCCCTCCAATTCCTCACCCTCTTCACCCGGTCCTTAGTCGCCTTGTCTAGCTTGGGCTCGACCGATTTGGTGGGCACCTTCCAGGTTGTACGAACTCCCGCCCCGCCGTTCGCCGCCACAAAGAACCACTATGGCCTCCAGCCTTTTACCGAAGATGGCAGACCCGCCACCAAACCTCGCCCCGCCACCGCCTACAGTGTAACCCAAGTGTCTTGCTGGCTGGAGGCCTTGTAACACGAGAATAACTCATCTACTGTCAAGGCCAACCCTTCCGTTACTTGCGGCCAGGAACTCGCGCACGGTATCAATATTTTCCAGGCGTTTAGCATCAACTGACCTGGCGCTGCATCTAGTTTATTCAACACGTCAACCATAACTTGAGGCAGCGGTAGCCTCACACCTCCCCGCAATGCTTCCTCGTACAAGCTAAATTTCCCCGACCGTACATCCGACGCCCTCTCGGTAGATGTCGGCAGCCTCAACCTTATTTCTAAAGGAATCTGGTACTTCCCCCTTATTCCCTCTAACTTTGCCAGTGTAAGAGTGGATCGGTCTGTCCTTGTGTGCCAGTGATCTGGTTCTGCCTGGCTGATTGGCCTTGGAGCTGCTATCATGGTGGAACCATGGGATCGTCCCACCAACTCTCCCACCCTCTCCGTCCGGTACTGCTGCGCCAACTCCACTACATCATCATCACCAAGTGGATCCACCCTAACATTCGCAGTTTCTTCTTGGGCCATTTCTGTGGAATGCTTGCGAATCGCTTCGGATGCAGGTGCAAGGAAGTTGAAAAAGTGTTGCAGAGGTGTATCGCGAGCAACAAAGGAATTCACACTTGGAATATTTTGATTTTTCGTAAACAAGTAGGTGAATCGAATGATGCCAAAAGCCCACGATTTGCCCGTATTCCAAGGATCCCAATTAATTTTCGCCAGTTTAAAAACTTTTCAAATCATTCGCCAAAACTGTCTTTTCAACACCCATAATGACCTATCGTTTCATTTCTGATCTAACGTCTAATCTCCCCTCCTGCGGGATGTTGCCATGTGTACGACCACGATCCACTGTCCCCTCCCCTTACCCTGTCTTTCCCACTTCAAATCACCACGTGACACGCCGCGTCTCGAGTCCCACGCCCCTCCACCTCACCCTTCGCGGTCGGCCCTCCTCGCGGTCGACCCTCCCACTCGGCCAACACCGCGGTCGTCCCTCCTCGTGGTCGGCCCTCTCGCTCGGCCGACCACCGCGGTCGGCCCCCCTTCGCGGTCGGCCCTCCTTGTTGTTGACCATCCCACTCGGCCAACATTGCGGTCGGTCCTCTCCGTGATCGGCCCTTCCACTCGGTCACCCCGCACAGTCGGACCACCTCCCAGTCGGTTCACCCCCTCAATCACCCCTGCCGGTCGACCTCCATCCTGCCAATCCCTAACACACTCATCTCCTTCATTAATATTCCCTTCGTTGGACTAAAGCTGCACTCGGGAATGAGGGACTACTGACGTGTATAAGCCCATAAAGGCCACGAATCACCTATGGACAATCCAAGCCCATCACTTGGAGCCCAATGCATAACCCAGCTGGTGAGGTTCAGGATAGCTTGGGTCCAACATGGCATAAAGAGCCAATGACATTCAGACACACGGAAGGAGAAGGACGAGCCACATCAGCATACAAAGATCTGCAAAGTTATTGTCATTGCACATTACCATTAATACAGCCCATCACAGCATTTATTACGACAGCACCTCTCCGTCGGAACAGGACCCCCTTACCCTGATCAAGGTAAGCTACAGCATAGGCTTTCGGCGAGGAGGCACAGGTCGGAAGGGATAGCGAAATGATTACCAAAGGATATAAGCAAACGTTGAAGACAAGAAGAATGTTAAGCTTTTCTATCTGTAATCTCTCTCTCTACACTCTACTTCTCTTCCTAACTTGTTCGCCGGAGGGTTCACTGGGGGACTATCCAGGTTCCCCATTAAACTTGTTTGCAGGTCATCCGGTGGGTTTGATCATTTGGACGTAGGCTTGAGGAGCTTGGACCAGTCTGATCCATTCACTGGAGCAAATTGTATTATCAAATATTTCAATTTGTAACATGAGTTTTTAAATTAAATTGAAAAGATTTAGGGCGAATTCAATGCCACGTATTTTTTAAAAATATTTTTATAAACTAAAAATATTAAAGACATTGCCTACGTTTGTGTATAATAATAATAGTTTATTTGTAAAAAACAAATCAAAACTAAATATTTTTTATATAAAGAATTCAAAAAAATCATAATGTAATATATACGTGTGTATACAAACATTACCATATTGATAATAAATTAGCAAAAAAAAAAATGTGTTTTGAAATTAATAACAATTCAAAAATTGATTTATTTTTCAAATTGAAGTGATTTGGTAATTATTACCATATGAACCAAATAATTAATTATTAATTACATTTAAAATGTAATAACTAATGGTTGAATAACATGTGTATTTATGCATTTTAGAAAGGAAAATGCTAGAGAGCTCTAAATCTAGAGCTCTAATTTGAGCTCTAGTGATGTGTCAAAGCAAAAAAAAAAAAAAAAAAAAACAAAACAAAACAAGACACAAACATCACATCAGGGTAGGTCTTACCTTCCCATTAGAGCTATTAGAGCTCTTATATTAAAGCTCTAAAGCATTTTTGTTTTAGAAATTCAAAAAGTTTAAAAATCTATGTTGAGAGTTTCAAGCTTGAAAGCCTCACAATAATTAATAGTAAATATTTGGTATCTTTATTCGAACACATTTAAATTTAATTTAAACTTTTAAATTTTTGCTTAAAATCACACCAAATTTAAAAATATTTTATCAAAAGCCCAGATTTCTCTCGAGAATCTGAAATCAGACTGGAGCTTGGGCTTTGTGGGCCCATCATGAATTCCGCATTGGTGATCAGGATTGTTTAATATTTAGGGCCTGTCAAATATTTTTTCACTGTAAAAAAAAAATCACGTTAATCAGATATCAGTAGTTACTTGATTAGATCAAATTTATATAAGTGATTATCGATATCCGATTAATATAATTTTTTTTAAGACTAAAATACTGAACAAGTCTTACATATTGAACAGTTTGAATTATCGATATGAATTGTGTGATGAGGCCATAGAGGCGCAACAAGACACTCTCTCCCGTTGTTCCTTATCAAAATTCTAAAAAAATTTAGAATTATACTCGGAGGTCATGTTTGATTCAAAGAACTAATAGTGAATGTATTAATAATTGTATCAAATTAGTGTGGTATTCACTATCCAATTATCCATTGTTTGATTTACATTGGATAAAAAAAATATGAATGTGAGATTATAACTATATTTATCTTTTTTTTCCAATCTTACCCTAAATCAATATTTCTTCACAATCTTTACTTTATCAAAATTTCTTCATAAACATGGTTTTGAAAAAAATTATAAATAAATAAATAAAAGCAAAATAAAAATATAAAATCCAAAGTCCATGTTTGGTTTGTTTTTTTAATTTTTTTAAAAAAATATAAATTAATTTGATAAAATAAATATCAAAAAATATTTTTAAAATTTTTAAAATTATTTTTAGCCTTCTAAAATATAAAATTATATAAAAATAATAAGTGTTTTAATTTTTAGTCAAAGGTAAAAAAGTCCTTTTATTTTATTTCCCAGTTCAGAATATATAATCCCACTCCTACCGCATTACTAATAATCCATCAAATTTGTTGGATTAATTATCCGTTGGATTAATAATCCTGAAATAAAATTTCAAAACAAACATAGGATTAATAATTCCAATCTCATACTCTAATCCTGTCAATCAAATATACCTAGGGCCATGTTTGTTTTGGTGGACATGAGCTTGGGATTGGACTAATAGTCCAATAAAATTATTAATCCGATGTTTGGTTAAACAATTGAAGTACGGACTAATTATTTTAAACTTGACTATTGGTTAAGATAGGATACATAATCCAACGGATTCGTAATCCTAGGACTATTAGTCATGGGAATACTAATCCAGTCCGCCCAAACAAACATGGCCGAAGAGTATTGCTATTCAAGACAAAAAATTAGATCTAATTTTCAGGTCTAGCATTGTGACAATCAATTAGGATATTAAAGATAATACTTTCTCTCCTATTTTTTCTAATTATTAACTAATTATATCACTTATATATTATTAAATTTATAAAATGAATCTAAAAAGTTAATCTTCATACTGGAATTGTTGAAGTTAAATTCGTCGAAATTGCACCAGTTTTGTGACAGACACACAAAGGTCGTGAGCTCTGCCTCTCGCGTGCTGGGCGCGTGAATCATGGCTGGTGGGTACGAAAGTGTTGGAGTAAAGGCCATTGATGGATTTTAAAGCGCCTAGTGGGCGTAATATTATGTTATGGTTATGAATATTGTATTGGTTAAAATAGTCATAAAAAAAATAAAATATATTAAAAAATTTAATATAATAAAATATTATATTTAAATTTAAATTTTTTTATTTTTTTTCATAAAAATCTCATATAAAACTTTTAATTCTAAATTAAAATAACTAAAAAATTTAAAAATAACTTACATGCCAAACGAAGGGTACATATTTATGTATGTATTCTCTTTACTCTCGACTCCCAGTTTACACTTCAAATTTTGGTTCTTTTTGTAATGGGTCCAAGGCTCTCAAATGTGGACAGCTATTGCTGATTACTGCTTTTGTCCCCACACACTCAGTACCTCATTCATGGCGCCCCTAACTCCCTAACCCCTTTTACTCTCTCTCTCTCTCTCTGTTTTTTTCTTCTCACATATCCCCAACCATTTCTTTTAATTCCTAGTCCAAGACTTTCTTGAACAGTCTCTACCCTTTTGTGTTCTTCAATCTGTTGATCATTTTTGGTTGCCTCTTTCTTTTGGGTTGTTTTGAGCCACAGAGCAGGCATGAGAGGTGGAATGGTTCACGGTCTCACTATCAATCTTCTCATTGTGCTTCTGTTGTTTCTCTGTGAGTATTCCTGTCTTATCTCTCGATTACCTGCTGGGTTTCTTCTATTTGTATGATCTATTGAATTTCCAACTTGGGTTATCCTAAAATTACTTTCTTTTTTCACTTATGTGCTGTATTGGAGGGTTGGGGAAATGGGTTTTGTAGAATTTTTCTATTCACATTGTTGTCTTGTAGGCTTTGATGTGAATTGGGTTAGTGGTGGATATTGTTTAATTTGTTTATATTTCCTTTACTATGCTGCATTGGCTATTTAATTTGTTGGACTTGCTACAGTTTTGCATTCTTGACACTTGTTCATTCTCGCTATGACGATGTGTTGTCTGCTTGGTCATTTAAGGTTTCTTTTGGCTTGATTTTTGATTTCCAGGATGGTGTCGCTAATGGGGTTAGGCCAATGCTAGTGCTTTTTTTTTTTTTTTTTTTGAACTTTAGAGTCTAGGAGAGAATTTATAATTATTTTTAATTTTTTCTCCATGTTCTTAATAGTTTAATAAGTGTTCATAATTTTCCATGACACATATCAAGCAAGAATTAATTTTCCTTATTAGTGGAGAAGTTGTTGTGCGGGGATGGATTTCACACTGTTGAATGAACTGGAGCTCCGTGACCAAACTAAGCTATCTAGGAACCAAGATCTGCAAGACTAAGAACACAATGAGAACTGCCTGGCCAAGGTTAGCTGGAATACTCCTCCGATATTGAAGTCAGGAACTCAGGAAAAGAATAGAGAGAAGTTAATATCGAGAGAAAGTTTAGAGAGAATAGAATGCTCCCTCAAGGAGGCCAAGGGTTACCTTATATAGGCAAACTTGCCTTGCTTTCCAAGGTGCACATAGGGTAACCACCTCACATGCCCCATTGCTCAGGTCATCATTACGCTTGAGTGGGGGGATCACGATTCTGTTAATCCGCCATGTGAGCTCATTCGTTTCTCTTCATGTGATGCAAGATTCTTCCCTAACCGTTTTATCCAACACCTGGGGATTGTGACTGACGTGTAATCCTTTGTTGCAACCTTGAGTCAAGTCCAAGGCCAAGGCCTTGTTGCTTAGTCCAAGAGTTAGCTCTCCCAGGGAGTGCTCCCTTAGGTGTCCAGTCAAGCTCTTCCAGCCTGACCGCGCTGTGCTTAAGGCTTTGGCCAACATGATGGTCCAGGTGGACCGATCTAGCTTACGGATGTTCAACCCATGCCTGCCTTGTCCCAGTAGTGGTTAGCTCGACCCTGACGTGCTTGATATGTGGCCCAAGTCTTGATGTGAGGTGTCCGGCCTTAGCAATTGCTCATCTTGGCCCAAATATGCACACTAGATTGGGCTTGGTCCATCTAATGAGCTTGGTCCGTCTAGTGAGCTCGGTCTATCTCCTTGCTCGGCCCACGTCCATAAGGTTAGCTGGGCTTGGCTCATGCAGGGAGCTCGGCAGTCATATTGGTCCCCTTTAGTTGTGATTTCATACTAGGCATTAATGCTGCAACAAGGGATTGCCTCTATGAGAATGTGATACTTATAACATGATATGATTATTGTTTGCCCCCAAAGTTCTTATTGGAACTTCGGTTAACTACTTAGCCACTTAGTTAAGCTCAAAACCTTACATAGGCGTACAAAAGCAACAATTTGTAGAGAAGAGGGAGATGGAAGAGAGAGAAAAGGAAACGGGGCCTGACATTTTTTTTTTAACGCTATTGAAGTACTCATTCACTTTCTAAATTAAAAGAAAAAACCTTAACATACAAAATTGGGTCTTTCTTTCATCACTTTTTCTAAGTTAACAATGTAATGAACAATTTTAAATTTTAGCCATCCCACTATGGATGCTCTTACTTCCTGGTTCTTATTGAACTTAGACCTTTGGCCAAACTCTCAGTTCTCTCACCTCAATTAAGAGGACTTTAAAGGAAAAACTAAACAGAAATAGAGTGTTTTTATTTAGAAAGAAATTAAAGTACAAATTAAAGGATGACATATTAATGGATACTTCACTCCAGGGGCGGCCTAATATTTTTGGGGATCTTAGGCGAAACCTTATATTAGGTTTACAAAAATCATTTTCCTCGCATATCTATTCTTGTAATCAAGATGGATTTATAGGTATACTATTGGGGGACCTCTAGACAAGGAGAGTTTTTTTTCTTCTGGATCTTTAGATAAAGAAGTTTGTTTTTCTTAGTTGGACTTTGGACAAGGAGTCTATCTTTACTATTGGGGTCCTATGCTTGAAAAGAGGTTTTATTTTGTTAGGCTTTTGGACAAGAAAGTTTTTTGTTTTTATTTTTATTACGCCTTTAGTTAAGAAAAATTTATTTAATTATTTTTTATTTTTGTTTTTGGTGAGCTTTTGGACAACAAGATTTTTTTTTTTTGGCCTATTAAAAATGATAAAAGAGAAAAAAAATTGGGGGTCTTAGCTTAGGTGAAAGTTGAAATGGCCTAAAGGATGGCCCAACCCTACTTCACTCATTGGGTACATCTCATGATTTTGCTGTTTGAAGTGTTGGTATAGGGTTCGCTGATTTCTTAGTTGAATGTTTCTATAAATTTCAATGCTCTGTTTCTATATATTTTTTGAATTTTCTATAAATTGGTATATTCACTCCCTACTCTTTGAAAAGAAAAAAGAAAAAAAAAAAAATATTCTTTGACCATAATGCATGTTTGTTCAAAGATTGTTCTGTATGAACTACAAAGCCCCTTGGCACAGTACCGTGAGTTGCAATGATTTCAAAATTTTAAATCCTCATTAAATTGTATTGAAGTGGTAAAGTATACTTACCCAAAAAAAAAAGTGGTAAAGTAGAAAAACCGAGCTTACAGAACACAATTACAAGTCTTACTCAAAGGGAACATCTCTATAATTATGCACTCATCCTAAGTCTGAGCCTAATTGCTAACTTCAGGTGGAGAGAATCAGGGTAAGTTGTTGGTTGTAATGTCCTTTAATCTTCCTCAACATTCCCTTTTATAGCCTGTGTCTAAAAACCGTTAGGAACTTTCCCTCCTTTGCAATTCTAGTGTATGTATTTGGTTGCCCCATGATCTTATTATTATCCGCATGCAATGACACCTGACTACCATTTTGATTAACTGCATCACACCTGGAAGTCAGTTTTCCTTCTATTTTCACAGGTGCATCCTACGACATTGGCAATTCGTCTTGAGCCATGTGTACTTGTTCATTTTTATGCAACTAATTTTATTGTTTTAGAATTAAGTGAAATGGTGCCAAATCTGCTGATATCGAATTGAATTTGCTTTAATACTTGTTTTTAGTATGACTCAATTGTCCTAACTATTTATGTTAGAAACAAAACTCAATTGAACTCAAAAAGCCTTTGTTCCAATTACTTGGGGTAGAGTCCAGGGTGGAAAGCCATACTTACATAGAAGAATTGTTGTTCGCTGACTTGCTAAGGTCTAATCTTTTGCTTGACTAGGCTGCAGTGCTTTCATCAAATGATTCTTGTGGGCTAAGCCATTTCCATCCCAATAGAATGCAAGTGGGCAAGAGATCAATAGACATAAAAAGAGAAGGCCAAAGGAGTAGAAGTTACTCAATTGATTATGTGAAATCAAGTAGCAATAGGTTACACTTCACTTTTCTGAAGAGCTCTCGAAGCAATAAGGTGAAGATGGGATAAGATGTTAGCCTTAGCACAAAGACCAATCATTGAGCCTTAGGCCACTATCGAACAACAATTCACAATAAGAGTAGAAGGCAAAAGGCACTTATCTTATATTAAAATTAGAGGAAACTTTCTGCATTGCATAAGTGGCTCGGAAGTCGAATCACACCTCCATTCAATTCTACTTCATGTTTGACTAGTGCCACATGTGCATAAATTGCAGGGGCAATTTTTTATTTCTTCAAGTATGTAAGTAAAATGCAAATACAGTCCATGTAACAAATGCCCAAGGGCTTGCTGGTGAATTTCTATCAAATAGGGATGGTGCGTTGGATGCTTGTTGAGAATGTTGCCCTAATTGGGGTTACTTTGAGACATTAATTTCGAAATAGCCATAAACTCGACGATGACACTTTGTTGTATGGGGGGAAGGGGATTCATTGTTGAGAAATCTAAATTTCAAAAATAATTTGAGAATTCTTGGTTGCATTACCCTCTATAAAGATTGAGGCTAGCAGGTCCATCATTTCACACAGTTATCTATTTACCAATAGAAGATTCAATAACTACCTTGGCCCTTGCTTCTTCATGTGGAACTGAAGGCCAACCCTCATTGTTTTTCTTAAATTGACTTGATTTTATTTCCATTAGAAAGAAAATTCACTTGATTGATACATTTATACCTACAAAGTTGACCTAGATTCAAGCCATTTTATTGAATCCTTGATTCTTGTGGCGACACTCTTCAAGACTGGACAATCCTTGATTCTTGTATTAACTGTTTAATGGATGATTGATCACCCTTGGACTATTCTTTTTTGGTGCAAAATCTTGCTGAATTGTGAAAGATCTATGCACTTGACACTGTGTTTTATGTATTGTAATTTGTACCTCAAGCATTGAGGCCTTATTTTACTGCCTCTCCAATTATTTTATTTCTTTTAACTAATTAAAAATTCTATGAGGTGTTTGGAAATGGTCAAAGCAATGAATAGGAGGATTGCATTGTTAGAGGAACCCTAGATGTTGTTAGAGTAAAGGATTGTCAGTAAGGGTGTTCTAGTGCATTTTAGATTCTAATCCAAGACTTGTATCGATGTTGATAATGATTGAATATAAGTTTTATGTTGGCTGACAACCTACTACAATCCTACTCCTTTCTTCGGGTTTCAGACTGGCTATGTAAAAGATAAGATATGTCACTAAGCACAACACAAGTATAGTTAAGGTTCGTAGGTTACAACCGAAAAAGAGAAAAAAGGAAAACAACTACTTAGTGTGGGCTATCTGAATATTGTCTTTCATTCAGTTGGGGTTTTGGACATCTTTTTGCTAATCCGTAGCATATCTTTCCTTCAGTCACAACCTGTTGGGTTTTTTCTGCCCATTGAGTAAATTTGAAAAACCAAATATTTAATAAAAGTGGGTTTTGTCCTGGGGAGTTGCATGGTTCATGCATTGGCTTTGTTGTGTACCGTTACACGTGAGTGAGCTGCACAAGTCTATTACTTTTGGTAAGTGATGGCTGACTTTGCAAAATGTAAAGGTTATATATGTTTGATTTTGTGCAGTGTTGTCTATGGTTGCTTCGCTAGTATTTGAGAGATGAAAAGGCAGTCGTGGTTTCTTTTATGGTACACAGCTTGGGAAGTGTAATGGTGTTTTGGAAAATTGCAAAGGGTAGAGTTTTTGGTATCCCTTCAACCTTCTCATGTATATATATGGGTGAATGAGATATTTTGATTGTGAGAGAATTGGTGTCTGTACAATGAGTGAGACAGAGACAGAGTAGTTAAGAAAAAAAGAGATATAAAATGTGAAAAAAAAAATACCGTGAGACACTAGGGTGAGTAACGACTCAACTACTCTCGAGCATGGTGTTGAAGTAGTGTGAATTTTGAGTATTTTGGTCCATCTCATATGTATTCTCTATTTTATTCATATAGTGGAATATCTCTCTCGTTGATGTAAGCACTAGTGTCAAACCATGTTAAACATTGTGTGTATTTATTTTGGGCATGCTTCTGCTAGCACACAGGGATATTTTTTAATCAGGGGTATCAGAGTTTCATTGGGCTTATTTTCCTAAAAAGTGGTATTAGAGGCGACCTATGAAGCACGGACACCTCTCTGGAAGCAATGTATGGGTGTCTGACACGTGTCGGACACAAACACGTGTCGGACACGCGGTGGACACGTGTCATACACTCTACCTAGCGTGTCCTGCCCTTTTTTTAAAATTTCTCCAGCTGGACACGCTTGGGGACACGTTGGAGATAGAGAGGGAAAAACCCCAACCCATGGAAGACACACGCACACAGAGAGAGAGAGAGAGAGAGAGTGTGTGTGTGTGTGTGTGTGTGAAAAAGAACCCGTTAAAGCCCTCAGCCGTAGATCGAGGTATGTTCTTTTCTTCATTTTTCTTCGTTTCTGTTTTTTGGTTGAATCTCTTCGTCTCTCTCTCTCTCTCTATATATATGTGTGTGTGTGTGTGTGTTCGACTCTCTGTTGCTCTTTCTGTGTTCAACTCAGATCTCCCTCTCTCTCTGTTCAACCACTCTTTCTCTTGATTCACTCTCCTCTTTCTCTGTGTTTGACTCCTTTTCTCTGACTTTGTGTGCCACTCTCTCTCTGTGTTTGTTTTTATTTATTTATTTATTTTATTTTATTTTTTTACTTTATTTATTTATTTTTTGAACAAAACCCTTTTTTACCCCCTTTTTTTTTTCTATTTTTGATGAATCTGAACATAAATAGAAAAAAATATTTTTATTTATAAAAAAAATTAATTTATGAATGATATTTGACGTTAAAGTAAATAAAATAAATAAATAAATAATATTTTTAATTTTATATATAATAAATAAATAAAATTATATATATTGAGCGTGTCTCTAACTTCTTGTATCCCCTATTTTTTGAAAATTTGCATGTCCTCGTGTTCGTGCATCATAGGTGGCGATAGTTGGCAATCTTGAGGCATGATGGGCCAACGGTCACAAGGGTGGCGGTTTAGTGTTATGGAAGCGTATCAAGGCCAAAGTTGATGATAACTGAGGCATACATACACCCAAAAAAAAAAGAAAAAATGGCAAACCCTAAGGGGTTTGACTTAGTGGGAGGAGAGGCAGGCAACCAAAGGGCTTACTACCGACGAGGTTGCAGGGTTGAATCTCACAAAGATCAAACATCCCAAACCTTGGGCCACTGGGGGTTTGCTCAGTCGTTAAGTTTGGGGCCCCAGGATTAGTTGAGGTGCCGTTAAGTTTGGGGTCTCGGGATTAGTCGAGGTGCGCGTAAGCTGGCCAAGACACCTGGTTATCCAAAAAAAAAAAAAAAAAAAAAAAAAGAAAAAATAGTATGGATGGAGTACTGTATCTGTATGTATAGGTTAGGAATCATCATCCATGAACCATATGGATCTGATAATCTATAATCAAGGTGCATGGAGGGTATACGGAGTGTCATACAAGGATGCAAGTGTATATGAGTGCAAGGTATGTGTTCAAGGATTTTTGCCAAGTGGAGGTGCGAGCATTGCAGACATCCCGTGGTTATGAGATGTGAGCACCCAAGTTAGGAGGGTGTATAGAAAGAAGCACTAGTGGATTTATGTGCTTGGAGTCGTGCAGAATTTTTTTTACCAGTTAAAGTCTTGTTGGCTCCAAAAAAGAAGACACCTTTAGTGCAGGCTGCAATTGTTCATATTATTTATTTTTTTGAGTGGTATTTATGTTTCCCTAGCTCAAGGAGTTTTGGAGCCTAATAACATCGTAGCAGTGTACGCATAACTGTACTCTGTGTGTGTGTGTGTGTACATGTAGGTTTCTTTTTGAGTGCATTGCTGATTCCCCTTTAGCATTTGCCTTAGGCATCTTTGTGTAACACGTACATATCTGAAACTGAACATTTTTTTTTTCTCCTTTATTTATTTATTTATTTTTTGGGGAAAGAAACATAATTATTTAAGTAACTATTATCTCTCTCACTGGCCTTTGCTCCTTTTTCCAGGCCTCCATGAATCCTGTTGCAGCCCATTGGATTACTTCAAAAGTTCTGTCATAAAGGACACAAGGACAGATGCCCTTTCACCTCAGATTTCCCCAAGTGCAGCTCCTCAGCCCCTTTATCCTCTTCTTGCACCTTTACCGTTGACACCATTTACAAATAACACTGTCCCGAAGCTATCAGGTTGTTTTACATTCTTTTATTAGGTCTCTTCTTTAGCCATTGAGGTTCAAAAGTGAAATAAATTTCACAAAACTCTATTTCTTTTCTTTCCTTTGTGCAGGAATGTGTATGTTAAACTTTGCTGCTGTTGAAAGTATGCTGAGCATGACATCAATTGATTGCGCAGCCACATTTGCACCATTTCTAGCTAATGTAATCTGTTGTCCACAGTTGGAAGCCACTTTAGTTGTTCTTATTGGCCAATCGAGCAAAGATACCAATATGCTTGCTCTAAATGGGACATTAGCAAAGCACTGCCTGTCGGATTTTGACCAACTTCTGGTGGGGCAGGGTGCTAGTGATATTCTGCAGCAGATATGCTCAATCCGTCCTTCAAACCTCACTGCAGCTTCTTGCCCGGTCAAAGATGTTAATGAGTTTGAGAGCACAGTGGATGGTTCAATGCTTCTTGAAGCTTGCGAAAAGATTGACGTCGTGAATGAATGTTGTAACCAAATTTGTCAGAATGCTATATCAGAAGCTGCTAGAAAGCTTGCATTAAAAGCCTATGATCTTTTGAGTATAGATGGGTCTCCTGCATTGTCTGACCACTCAGCTAGGGTTGATGATTGTAAAATTATTGTTCACAGATGGTTGGCAAGTAAACTTGATCCTTTGCGTGCAAAAGACGTTCTTAGAGGAGTTTCTAATTGCAACGTCAACAAAGGTGAGCTGGATGCAATTTTTTTTGTGAATGAGATCAGAACAAGTGCTGTGAATGATGATACCTTTTGAAATTGTTACATATATGAATCAATCACTACCCAAAGGTTTAATGAGGGAATTTTCTTATAATAAACTTTACCCCCTTAACTATCACTCAATATCACATTACTCCTTCAACTTCAAAACTATACATTTAGACCCCTCAACTATCAAAGTTTCTTCACTTTTACCCCCTTCAAAAGGTGGTCTTTGTATGATTTTTGATAGTTTGGGGGTATAAATATACGGTATTAAGGTTTATGGGGGTATGGTGATATTTAGTGATAGTTGATCGGGTAAAGTGTAATTAACCCTAAAATTAATTATATAGCACAAGTTCCACATATTTAGTGATGGCACTGGTAAGGCCTAGATGGTATCTATAAACCCTTGGAATTTCTAAAATTCCCAAGAAAATGTACTTTTTTTTACATTTGCTTTGTTTTTCTAGGTTATGTTAGTTCATAGTCTCTGTACTGTTGTTTTTTCCCAGAAATATCAATCACTTGAGCTCGTGTCATTTGTATTCTACCTATCATTTGAATATTTTTTAATCTCTTTTCCTTTCTGCTTCAGTTTGCCCTTTGGTTTTTCCCAACATAAGTCATGTCGCCAAGGGCTGTGGAAATGGGATAAGGAACCAGGCAGCATGTTGTAATGCGATGGAAAGCTATGTATCTCACTTACAAAAGCAGAGCTTCATAACTAACTTACAAGCTTTAAATTGTGCTGCTTCACTTGGAATGAAACTACAGAAAGCAAATATTACTGAAAATGTTTATTATCTCTGTCGTATTAGCCTAAAGGATTTTTCCCTTCAAGGTTAGTTTTGTTCCATAATGCAATCTGATGAGCAACAGAAAATCCTTTTGATAACACAAATTGAGGTTGATACTAATACGTGATTTGTTTGTCATTGTGTTCTGTTGGCTCAATATGGAATCTACAATTTGAAAGCTCCCGTTGGAATTCAAGGTAAATTCAATACTTCACATCTTTTATTAAATTTCCCCATAATAACACCTTGGAATTGATGTTTTTCGGAAATGTTGCTCCCATAAGTGAATGCAGATAATCCTCGACCATGGCAAAAAAGGTTGTACCTAGTTTTTAAGGCCCTTGCTTACATCCTTAATCTTCGTAGTTTTACTATATGCGATGCCTAAATGTCTTTCCTTGGTGTTTTATTATAATAGGGCACATGATTTAGTGAGGAGAAGTACAAATAAAAAAGATTTAATGAGCCCATCCTTACCCTTCTCTTCCTCCCTCTCCACTTTTTTTTAATCAATAAAGGAAGTAATGGAAATGATTAAGCTAGCCCGTTTCCCTTTTATCATTCCTTCTTCTTTTAAGCTAGAAACAAAATGACTTGGAAAAGTATTTTATTTTTATTTTTATTGCACTTGTCTGTAAGTCACACTATTTGATGGATAGCATCTAACTTGCCTTGCCCTGTCTATTTTTGGAACAGAGTCTGGATGCCTTTTGCCTAGTTTGCCATCCGATGCAACATTTGACAAATCTGCGGGAGTCACCGTCGTTTGTGATTTGAATGACAACATTCCAGCTCCTTGGCCCTCTACTTTCCAAGGACCAGCTTCGTCATGCAATAAAAGTAATTAAACATAGTTGCGGACTGGTTAATTCTATTTATCTAGATGGAAATCTATTTCCCTTGTATAATTTGAAAGTAATATCTGCAGCCTTGTGTGATGCTCTTACTAATTTATATCTCTACTTTCTGGAACTGTAGCTGTCAAACTTCCTGCACTTCCTGCTGCTGCATCTGGGCAAAGTGGTAAGCATGCCAATTAGCTTTTCCTGACTATTAATTTTATATATATGCTTTTATTTGTTGCTTCGTTTTAAAGAAAATACTTGGTGAACTGGTTGTCAAAATTGATTTGGATACTTGCATGGATTGCAGCTAAGCCATATTGTTTGATAGTACATGAATATCAACAACAAAGGTGTGGCTCATTCATAGTAACTGTAAGTCTGTCTTCAGATCATGGATTTGAGTAGGGATTTAGAAAGGGAAAAGAAAAGGGAAGGGAAATGGAGAAAAAATTTGGCTTATATATTCATTCACATTTCCTTCACCTTTTCCTTTCCCTTTCCAAATCCATGATCCAAACACAGCCTAAGTAAACAGATAAGAATCCACTATTTCCTCTCTCTTTCTCTGATTTTACCTGGAATTAGTTGTGTTAAAAATGTAAAATACAGAAGATGCATGTTCACCATAAAGGAGAAACTCCACTTTAAAAACATTGGGGTTTAATCGTAGACTAGAACATAAGGTGGATAATTCAAGACTAATGTTTACAAAACCATGACATATATGTGTGAATTAACCCCTACTCCCAGATTTTTCCTAAAAATCTTTTCAATTTTTCACAAAGAACCTGGTTAAAATTTTTGGCTGATTACACGATGAGTACATCGACTTGACTCAGAATATTTCTCAGCACTATTCCAAGGTTGTGTCACAATACATAAAAAATGTGAAATGGAACTGAAATGAGTACAGATGGATTCATTCAGAGGTCAATTTGGCATTGAATCACAAGTTGATCATGACATAATGTTGGTGTCAGTTGACTCATTGTGATACGCATGTCACATGGGCTCGGGTATGAGTATTGGGTAGGGTCGTGTCCAAGCTTTAGATCTTCATAAACTTAAATCTTAGGATATTGAGATATATATCCAAAATATAACATGGGTAAGGGGACTCGTTATGGACACACATATATTACATATTATATAATATTCTTAGATAAGATGTAAATTATGTAGAAATATATTTAAAATTGAGCTTTAGAAAAAATGTGGAATTTTATCTCTCATCTATGTTAGAGATTATTATTGTTTCTTTTCTAGCAAATTTGAGTTTCTTATTCTTCAAACATTGTGAAAAGTTGAATAAATTGGATACGGGTGTTGGACACATATTTCACACTCACTTGACACATGTATTTTGGGAGAAATAGAAGATGCCGTGTAAGATAGGTCACGTGGCTCATGTTGGCTACACACAATGTCCTACATGTTTGACTTTGGTCTTGCATTTTACCGGTCACCGAGTCTTGATTTATTTTTCTCCGTCTCTAGTGCTATGAACATGGAGAGGGGACACAGTGGTTTCAATAAAATAGGGACATGGACAGGGCAATAATATATATATATATTTTTATTTTTACTTGCTAAGTAGATTGATATTACATCCACAAACAATCGAAACTAACAAAAAGCTAACACTAATTCGATTTTTTTTTTTTAAAGAAATCATTTTTAAATTAACTCTTATCATTTATATATTTTTTTCTTATAGATGATTTATTGAATATTTAAATCTAAGCAAAAAGTAATAAACATTCAACATCTAATATCCATCAAAAGCACTTAATAAAATGATGCATTGTGTCCTCCTAAGCGTGTCCGTTGGAAAAAAATTAATTAAATAAAGGGACACGCCATACATGTCCCTGCCACGTCCGACACCCCTATGGCACTTGTTTTGATGTGTCGGTGCTTCATAGGTTCTTTTGCTCTTGCTTCAACCATCAGTAGACTAAAAATTATAAGCAATCATAGAATTTGAATTCTTTCAATGTTGTCAGAAAAATATGTTTTGTTTTTTATTTAGTTTATTCTGCACTGTATGTGCTTTTGAATTATTCTGGACTATAATTGATATGTGATATTGTGCTAGATTTGACTCAGCAGCTCTTGTATTAATCTTTTGGATTATGCTGTATGTGGTAGATGATCTCTTTTCTTCACTTTATGGTTTTGTTATATTATAGTAGTTGGAAAATTTTCAGGGATTTTTTATACTGTTTAAGCTTTTTTATGTAGTGTTGCATATTGCCAGCTTCAGATGTGATTTACAGTGATCTGGTTGTCTTAGAGTTTGCCTAGACTGCGGTGAATACCGTGTCTGATCTGATCCATGCTATAAGGATAGATTCTGCAAATTAGCTTTTTTGGTCACTATCTGAAGATTTGCATGTTAGATTTTTGAATCAAGAACATCTTCCGTAGGTCTTGACTTCAAATGTGAAGAATTCAGGATCTTCTTCAGTATAGGTTTGGTTGCCAAATCTCAACCCTTCATCATTGATGGGACCCACCTCAGAAACTCCATCTTACCAAGAGAGAAGAAAATTCCCTATTCTCCACCTCAAGTTTCTATCCATCATCAATAGGAGAACCAATTGTAAGAAATCGCGGTCATGTACTCTTAGCCATGGGAAGTTATGGTTTGCATTATTACTGCCCTCGAAAGGCTGTTCCTTCCTTCCATTATGCTTGAGACACTTACCTATAACCTATTGAGGATTCTTTATGCTTGGCTAAAAACCTAACTGTCAACCCCTTAGTTGCAGGAAGAAACTCTTATTTGGGTTTACATTTGTGCGCTAGAGCTGCGATTCCTCAGAGTAAGAATTTTGATAGAATGTCATTTTCGTTCAAAAATTTTACCAAACAAGTTTTTATTTGAGTTTTTTAAATTTTTATAAATATAAACAGAAATTAAAAACGTAAGTGTTACCAAACGGCACCTTAAAGAATAGATATTTATTTTAAATTTTGACTTTTCTCGTAGGAATTAAATTAGATCTTTCAATTTGGATTTATGATGATTGATGGCTAAAGATATATGTTATTGGTGATGAATTGTTACTTTTGTAATGAGCATTTATTGTGGTTATGTTTGATCATATACAATACTAGAAAAGAAATGGATTCTCCAGTCGGTGAGAAAGAAAAAAAGGCAAAAAGGGGGGAGATAGGGAAGAGGAGATTAAGGATATTTACTCCACTCCATAGATAGTGCACACAGATTCTTTTTCATTTTCAATTCCTTTCGGGTCAGAAATGCAGGCTGCTGGTGAGGCTGTAACTGTTTAAGTGCTTATATAATGTAGTCACTTAATATAATATTACAACCTAAGAAACACTAAAGATTTGAGGATCAGGTCCAAGGTCTCAAGTTCGAGTCACCCCAAGGGTCTTGGGGTCTACTAGAGGTTTTCCCATTCATTAACTTCAAGGCCCTGGGATTAGTCGAGGTGCATGCAAGCTGGCCCGGACCCAACCTTTGACTTTTCTATGTGCTTCCACTTCGTCGCCCCTATTTTTGCTCTTGCTTCTGCTTCACGCAAGTTACAACTAGGGTCAACTCTCTACTATCACTAAGAAAAAGCAACTTTGATTAACTTCACCACATGTTACCTAAATTTTGTATTAATCCCTAGTGTACTTGTGTCCACCAGATATGATAAAAGTAAGAGTGTGCGATGTGTTTGACACCTATACCCAATTTAAAAACTTGGATCTTCTAATTTTATATGAAGTCTGAAGAAGAAGAAAAAAATGTTAACATTAGCTAGTAAAGAAATAATTCTAACATCTTGCATAAATGGAAGAAATAAATTCCACATTTTCTTTAAATTCCATTTAATTTGAAGTGCATTTTTAAATAATTTACAACATCTTATCTTATCTAAGAATATTATTCAATATGTATTAAGTGTTTAAGACATTTCTTTGTACTCATTTCCAACTTTTGGATGTCTATCTCAATGTCCTAAAATTTCGACTAGAAATATCGGGCGCTTGGACACACCCCCACACTCAATACCTGTTCTTGAGTCGATGTAACATAGTCTAAATTGGACAATTTTCAATTTCTTTACAAAAATAAAGTACAAATAAAATACATAACCTTTGAGGTTGTGGGTATGTGAGGTGGTCAATTGTTGGCCTTTGGGAAGATGGCAGGCACTTCACGGGTCTGAGATCACTGGAGGTGGAGGGGAGAAGGCCAAGGCAGGCTTAGAGATAGAGAGGTTGGCAGTGAGAGATCTTAAACACTTGTGTGTTGTGATGTTGATGAAGATTGTTGATATGTTCATATGTTGGTTACTGCTTACATGATACATTATATAAACTCTTGAAATATTGGAACCCAAGCAATCTCTTGAACAAGTAGCTAGCTCTTCCCAATTCAGCAGGGAGTTGATATCAGCCCTACTGCCGTCTGTGATTCAGGCTGGTAGGTATGAGAATAAAGTATCATGCATGCAATAGAGGCGTGAGTGTAAGGTCCACATGACCTCTCTCCAAGCCTGGTCAAAGTGGAGCTTGGCAGGAACTTCGGTGCACAAGGTGCTTGAACTGGTACTGAATCAAAAATTGAAAAAAATCAAATTAAAAAACCACACATACCGATTCTTGTTAAAAACAGACCAAATATGACCGGTTTAGTCCGATTCAATAGGTTTGGTCGTTTTTTTCCAGTTTTTCTTACATCCCTGCCAGGAAGACAACCAAGCAAGACCTTCACGATCCCACGGCCTTTGCCTTTAGTCCATAATCCTCTAATGATCTCAAGTAGGGGTGCTTGGGTCCTACTCCCAACCTACGCCACCAAGTCAATGAGTGAGCCAAGGGCCCATCTTTGTACTGGGTGAGCCAAGGGCCCATCCTCAGTTGAGCAGCCCAATAAACACAAGTGGGCCAAAGGCCTGACTATTTTGCTATTGGGCTGGTACTGAGTAAGATATGAACAACCATGGGCTCAAGCTATTGGGCTGGTACTGAGTAAGATATGAACAACCATGGGCTCAAGGCGGGCCATGGTGTTGCCTGTTGTCGGGCTTTTCATACTATGACTTATCATTGTGGTGTGTACGCTCCGCTTAGGCTAGGCATGCAACCCCAATTAGTCTTATGAGGACATGTGGTGTACGGTATTGATGATGTGGCGCCCAAGGGCTCGCCACGTACCGGGTGTGGTACAGGTAAGGGTGATAAACGAGTTAACCAACTCGAGCTTGACTCATGTTCGGTTTGTTAAAAGTTCGTTCGAGCTCGGTTCGTTAAATAAACAAGTCTTAGAGCTCGTTAAGGTTTTCAAACCAAGTTTGAACAGTCAATTGCTCGTTCGACTTGATTCAATAAGCCTAAAATTATATAAAATATCAAATTACTCGAGCTTGGCTCGATAAAAGCTCGTTTGAGATCGGCTCAAAAGTTTAACAAACCAAAGTTTGAACAAATTTTGAAGCTCGTTAAAGTTATTAAACCAAGTTTGAACAATTAATTGTTCGGCTCGTTTGGTTCGTTTATCATCCCTAGGTACAGGTACCCCCAGAGGTTTGATTTAATACTGAGGTGAAATGTTGGTATTAGATGTGGTATTGTTAGTACCATAATCAATTGGATAACTTGTTCAATAGTTGTACATGACATCAAAACTTGCTAGAAAATCAACCACAATACGGTGTTAATTTATTCATTAAATACCATGATTGGTTGAAAGAGCTGTTTAGAGGCTTGTGTTTAAAAGATAGTGGAGACTGCTGGCTCACTGAAGATTTTTTCTCCTTCAGATTAATTAAAAAATGAGAAGCTGAGTAGGCACCGATATCTTTATCTTTCTTTTTCTCTTGCCCCATCTGTTTGAAATCACCCTACTGCAAAAAAAGAGCTGCTCTTTCAGAAATAATTAGATGAAGAATGGTTTAATTTTGAACAAATTACTGCCTTCACTAGTATGATGATTAAGAATTTCAATATTTTCATAGAAATGCAGGAGAGATTATTGTCAAAAATTGGGTGGCGATGTTGATTGGCTTCCCCTTTGGTTAGCAGCAACGATGAAAGATACAATATCATCAGGTTTAAAGTTTTCAAAAAACAGATACGAGGAAACAAAAGTTGCCTCTCTGCTAACTTCTTTTAGTTTTGCAGTTGATTAAAATATTCGTCTGGGGTGGAACCATCTATTTTTTTGTTGAAAGTTGACTTGAAAATTTCATGCTTTCTAGAAAGCTAATCACATACTGTTAATTGCTACAAGTTATCATCCTTTCAAGTGCTCCTCTAGTCAGTTGTGGTTGGATCATAACTTCGGAAGGAATCAATATTTGCTCTCTTTTTTTTCTTCAAGATGATACATGACAACATAGAAAAACCACACCTGATTTTGAAAGTTATGTGTAAGTTGTTTTAGCAGATAAAAGCAATAGGGCATGATAAATCATGAAATCAATTCATCATAAAGCTCAACATGTGTCAACACTTGATGTTCATATATTTTTATGTATTACTTTAGAATTTCTTCTGCTGACGTGCAATCAATTGGGGGGGGGGGGGGGGTTTCCTGAATTCCTGATAATTCTTGGAGCTTATTTCATGATAATTCTTTTTTTTCTTTTTTAATTTTTATTTTATTTTATACTTTGCGAGTCTGAGCTTTGAATTTGTGGAATAAAGACTATTATGGCTCTCATTGAAGTTGCTACTCTTTGACTTCATGTTCTCGTGTTTTGCAGGTCTTTTCAATGCAGATATAATGTTTCATCTTCTCTTTGCGGCGTCAATGGTTTTCATGATTATCCTTTAAATTTCAGTAGAGCTATTCGGAGAACAAGGAAAGCAGATGAAGTTATATGAGAGCTTCATCCCTCTCCTCCAACCTGTAAGAACCCGAGAAATTTGAATACGTGGAAGCAAATCTCAGTCTTAGGTGAATTAAGAGTTTGAATTCGTCATTATATCCTATTCATCATTCTTGCGAGCTTGTGTAATAAAAATTTTGTATAGAAATTTTACAAAACGTGGAAGTTAATGTAATTATAACCCCTTAAAATTGCAATGTAAAATCGGAATGGAGTCTTAAGCGTGCCAAATTTCTTCAATTTTTGTGAGAAGCTTGTGGTTGCTAGTCCCCTTTGTTCTGTTGTTAATTTACTTCTTAACCTAAATTGTGGTGCTTACTCTTGGTATTGAAGCTATGAACATCTCTCACTTTCGAGCGTGTGGACGCACACAAACTAGTTATTATGAGCTTGGTTTCAAGAGATCTCTTGTAATTTTTGTTTTGTTTGCGTTTGTGAACAATATTCAGGGTTGGTTTGGGAAGTTGGCCTATTTTAGTGATTTTTTGATTTTTTAACTAAAACATGAGATCAAAAATTGAAATGCTTGGAAATGATTTTTTAACTTCTCATGAAAAAACGTGCAAAAATACAAAGAATGAAAGAATGTTTGATTTTTTTGATTAAAATTTAATATTCCCAAACAAATTTGTTCCTCTTCACAAGATGTAGTATGTAAGGTGGAGCATTGAATTACTTGATATACATGATTAGGTCGATTTTCTAGAATTTTAGTTTTGGCGGCAATTAGTGATCTCACTAATATTGCAAGATTGACAAAAGCTTAACATTAAAGTTACTTCCAAAATTTGTGACCGTGCAAATTACTGTACTTGGATTTCAAGAATTTGTGAAATGATAATAATTTAGTGCAAGCCTGGTCGAAACCAGGCCCAACCCATGTTCAACCCTAAGTTTGAGGATACTTTTGTCCTTTTAACATTTAATTTTTTTTTTTCGGGACAAAAGCAAGGCTGGGGAAATTTTATTTCCATCAGCCTTGCTTTTGCCAAGCATTTAATTAACTCAAGGCACATATTTAATAAAATTTTAATTTAATAACAATTATATCCTAAATTAAAATGACCATAATAAACATCTAACAACACCCCATAATATTATATGAAAAAATTTTCTGTATACATCTTTCAAGAACAAAAAAAATCTCTATGTACACATTTTTCGTAAGCTAAGTATCAATTTTTTTGAATCTCTTTTCGGAACTAATTAGTCAAAATAAATAACAAAAATCATTTGGTTAATAAATAACAAAAATCGTCTGGTTAATAAATAACAAAAATCATTTGCTTATAACAATGATGTTGATTGGATGAACCTGTTACCAAGTATCTTGTCCATTTTAGGGTATTGATATTGTTCAAAGTTAATGTTTCTCTAATTATATCACTCTAATATACAAAGATGGCCCTTGTATCACTGGATTTTCTAAATTATAGTTGTAGTAAAGAACACAGAGTTTTAAACATATTGTGAACCAGAGAGTTTTTTTAAGTTCCACCAACTAATATATTTATTAACTAACATAAGAAATTGATCTTTAAAGATATATCTTTCCTAGACTGAGGAAGTTGGTTGTTCTCTTATGGCTTGAATTTATATTCTTACATAGTGTATAAAGGACTCACTGTTAGTTGCTCATTAAATCTACTATTGAAATTTTAAGTTGACAGTGATTTTAGTTAGGAAAATGGGAGAAACGACTCTATTTTGAGGAAATAGGTAATTGGAATTACAAAATCTGGTGAGACACGTACTCTTGCCGAATTTGGAGGGTTTTCAATGGAGGTTCAATAGAGGTCTTCTATTGAGGTCTTCAACAGAGGAAAAGTGTCTTCACTTGATTTCACTTCAGACTTCGGTTTTTCAAGGGTCTTCACGTGGGTGGTTTTGCAAATGTGGAAGTTGGGTAAATCAAAAGTTTGTAGAAAGGAAGGTTAAGTGCTGTGTGTACAATAATTATGAGTGAATGATATAATTGTAACTTTTAGTGTGTAGATTGAGAAAATTAATCAATAAACAAATTAATAGGTGTGTGTATTGAGAAAAAAATGTGCACTAAGATAATCAAGTGTGTGCAAATATAATTTCCTGCAAGGTTGCCCTAAAAGTTTTTGAAACGCCTTGGCTTAAATTAAATGACATAAATTAAACTGTTTTTTTTTTTGATGTAAAATATTTTAAGTCCGAAAATATTTTTCATGTAAATTTGTATGAAAAAAATATTTTTCCTTTTGGCTATGTTTATTACAACCAAAGATATTTTTCATATAAATTGATTTTGCACAAAAAAATTATTCAGTGTGTTTGGTTTGAGTTTTCTGGATTAAATTTTTTGAAAATTGACTTTTTTGATTTTCGTATTTTTTTGTTTTTAGTGAATATTTTTTAAATTTTAAACATTTTTTTTTTTACTTTTTTAGATGCATCTTATTTAGATGTATCTAAAAAGTAAAATTTATGAAAAAATATTTTAAAAAATTAATAAATACAACAAAATACAAAAAATGTACTTAAATTCTTATATTTTTTTTTGTATTTTTGGTATTTAGTGAATTTTTTAAAAAAAATTTTACAATTTTTTTACTTTTTAGGTGTATTTATGTTAGGTGTGTTTAAAAAGTAAAAAAATGCTTAAAATATTAAAAAAATTCAGTAAAAACAAAAAAAAACGAAAAATAAGAAAATAAAATTTTCTAAAAAGTATTTTTTGAAAAATAAAAACAAGCAAAATGATTTTTCTTCTTATTTTTCAATATTTAGTTGACACTTAAAATAAAAATTTTCTATTGTATGCTTTGGGTAGAAAGGTAATGAAGAAGCTACCATTTTACTTTTGAAAATATCAATAAAGCCAATCTAAAAGTAGTTTTTTAAAAAATAACTTACGGAATATTTAATAACAACAATGATAAAGATCATTAGGCTTGGAGCTCTAAAAAGATCATTAATGACATGACACTCAATAAAAAAAGAAAAAAATACAACACTAAGGCCAAAATATCAAATTATTCAGGGTGGGGTATACTGCCATATCATCAGTGGTAGCACTAATTAGTCCTCCCACTCATTTTCCATTTAATAATAAGTCATTTTAAAAAGGCGATGATAGAGACCATTAAAAGTGGTGCTCTAAAGCAATCACTAATGATGTGACATTTACTTCTTCTTTTTTTAAAAAAAGACACAATAACATTGTGGCAGTGGGTCCCAACCACTGTCACGTCATTAGTGGTGGCACTAATTAGTGCTTTCACTCATTTTCCTTTTAAAAAGGGACACTTTTTTATAAACTCCTTTTTATATACTCATATTTTATTTAGTTTACATTATTTTTTTATATTTCAATAAGTCCTATGAGTGATATAGTTTCCAAAATACTTCTAATAATATTCACATTTACAGTATGAATGTTCCGTGATGTGAATGTTTACACTGTCAATGTGAATATTCACATTGTAAAATATGAATGTTCACATCACCAAATTACTAACCGTTCAAAACATATTTATAAAGGTAGAAATGTCCATAAAATATTTTAAATATGAAAATTAAGATTTGGTAGATTAAATATTCAAATAATAGGATTTATTGAAAAATAAGAATATCTTATAAACTAATTAGAATACAAACATTTAAAAAATGATTTTCTAATAAATCTTCCTTTTAAAAATTATTTGTTTAATCAAATAACAAAAAAATAAATAAAATAATTTTAAAAAAAGAATTACGTGGAAACAAACTCGACCTAATTCAAAACGACAATGCTAGGTAGCTCAAATTTTTGTGGCTCAAATGGCTCAAATCTGTCAAAACAACGTCGTTTTGACAGATTTTGAGTGTAAAACGACGTCGTTTTAACATATTTGAGCCATTTGAGCCACAAAAATTTGAGCTACCAAACATTTTCCAATTCAAAATTACGGCTCCTTGGGAAAAAAAATCTGGAATGATAAGCCACAAATTAGTGGAAACTAATAGATGGTGGTTTTATGCTGGAAAAAAAAGAAAAGAAAAGAAAAGAAATAATAATAAATAGATGGTGGTTTTATAGTTATAGTGTTGTGTCAATAATTTATTTTGATAGAAATTTGATATGATTAAATAATTATTGATATTTGATTAACGTAATTTTTTATATAATTAAAATATTTAATGAATTATACAAATTAAACGGTTCAAATTAATAAAATAAAATTTAAAAAAAAAAAAAGAAAGAAGGTAAATGATATGTCTTCATAGGTCCAACACCACGCTTCCGTCCGAATTCGAGCCGAAGAGAAGCCTAATGCTTTTTGAGGAAAAAAAACATCTCTTCTTTTTGTTTTTTCCAAGAAAACTTTTTACTCAATTCTATCTCTTCCACTGTCGCCCATCACGTTTGACCAGCGCATCGTGAATACCAAATCGGGAATATTGATAATATATGTATCAATTAGTATATTAATTAGTATATTAATATTAGTTATGAGATTCTATTAATTAATTACATTATAAATATTAAAAAAAAATGAGTGAAAGTACTAATTAGTGTCACTACTAATAATGTGACAATGGGTCCCACAATGTTGTTGTGTCTGTTTTTTTTTTTAAAAAAAGTGAGTGTCACATCAGTGGTTGCTTTAGACCACCACTTTTAGTGGCATTTAAAAAGGGCAATGCTAGAGACCACTAAAAGTGGTGCTCTAAAGCAACCACTAATGATGTGGCATTTACTTTTTCAAAAAAAAAAAAAAAACAAGACACAACAATATTGTGAATGTTGGTTTTTTAACTTACAAGTCTTGTGAGAGCTCCAATATCTCAATCTTAATTTTCTAAATTTTTTATTTAAAAAAAAAATCTCAGCATTTAATTGATTTCTTCCAATCCACAAGCCTTTTTGACTTCTCTTATACCTACTCCTACACCCTTTTTAACTTCTTCCATACACTATGATTAGTGATGATATTGTTAAATTATTTTTATAAAAAATCTTTAAAAAAACAATTTACGTATTAAAAAAATATCTAAAACAAATATAAATTCTTATTAAATCTATCTATCTATCTATCTATACTATATATTAAGCAAAAGGGTGTTTTAACCCCAGGGCCTGTGGAAGCTCCAATATGCCAATGCTAATTTCCTGATTTTTTATTTTTTTTTTTAAAAAAAAATTTGACTTGGTGATTGGTTCAAAGATTATAATAATTACATTGACACCATGATTACATGGGTCTCTTGGGGAAGCAAAATAGCCTCTCTCTCTCTCTCTCATTTCATTTATTGTTTTATTTCCCCACCCTCTATCTCCTTCATTTATCAATAGTGTAATTATAAAACAATAAACCAATCACCAAGCAATCCCAATATTATATTGAAAGAATTTAATAAGTGTTATTTTTTTTTTCAAAAAAAAAAAAAAAATTAAGAGAGAAAAAAATTATCCATCTCCTATCATGGCCACTCCCTGTGCCTCTAAAATTGTGACCAAGCAGGTAATCGCATCCAATGAGCATCAGAAAACTGTACATCTTCCTGAGGTGAAAGTTATAGAGGTAATTTCAAAACCTTTCTATACCCTTCATTACTCTTTTTTCTTTTCTTTTTTTTTTTTTTGGGTGGTATTTACACGATTTTTTTATTTCTTAATTTTTTTTTTTCATTTCAAAGAAATAGTTGGTTTTGGAATTCGAGCTAGGAGCTGATGCTTAATATGCACTTTTTTACCATAACATAATGGGTCGACATTCCAGCATCATTACTAAAATCACTCTGGCTAGTGGCATTAGTATTCTTTTACAAGGCATCTTTAGACTTTGCTGTCTTGCACCATTCATTTCACATATTATGATGACAAGTAACATATAGCTTTTCCGGTAAACAATTACTAAGACACACCTGCCCGTAGTCAAGTATGTTCAACTAGACCATGAACCCCAGGCATATTTCACTCATAGAAGATCGTGACCCACATATTAGTTCATTTAAATCCATGGGCTACATTCAAAAAATTAACTTGCTCAGATGTAAATGTGACCATTCAGTTTCTTTTTTCTTTTTTGTTTTTTAGATTTTTATCCATTGAACCACGTGGCTAAAATGTTAACCTGATTAACTACACATAGGTGTGTTTAATTGAGTTAAATCAGATGTTGAGTCTCAACTGTAGTTTAGGTCTGTGCGATCGGCTTTGATCAGTCACTTGACCATAGTTGAATTGTGCTTGCTGGAGACAAACCACTTTCTTTTCCCTTATCAATTTTCTTTTCTGATTTGGCAGTAGCAATATCACTAATCCTTCATGAATCTTTTGAAACTAAGTATTTTGTTAGATTTTATATAACAAATTCCATTGAGGTACTTGGAAGGATAGCTTATAGTTCAATATTTTGCTCTGTTAATTATTGAATCGGGTTATTGTAGCCTGAGTCTCAAGATCATTCACACAGATTTTAACTTTGTGAGTCTATTTTCACATTAATTTTTCCAGGTCATGTTGGAATTTGTTGGTGTCAGAAACTTACCAAAGGGACACAAGGGAAGCGTCTCTGTCGTATTTAGTAAGACACAGCCTGATACAATCTTCAGTGCCAATAGGAGACTCACTATTTTGTCCGAGTCTGGGGAGAAACAGGTCGCTTCTTTCCATTGTCAGCCTACTGGAAATCTGCGATTTGAACTTGTCTCCCACTCACCTTCCAACTTAAAAATTTCAAGGCCAGCCAAAACTTTGGGTTCCTCTTCCATCTCTCTGGAGGATTTCCTGACCCCCGTTTCCAATCTCTCTGTGGAGAAGTGGTTGGAGTTGGTGTCCAGTTCTGGAACAGTGAGCTCAAAGCCAATTGGTTTACGGGTTGGCCTCTCATTTACCATTCCAACTGCAGCGCCACATGTGCTTCACATGGTTCGCTCTCGGCCATTCTCAAAGAGTTCTTGTTTTTTCCCACTTCCCGGAAGGGTTCAATTTACTAAGAGTTGGACACATGTTATCGATGAAACTGGCAATGAGGTCATCAGCCTCCAGATGAGGTATTCCTGTTGTCCATTTCTAGCTAACGAATGAGTTAGGTTGCATTTGGCTTGGATTGTTTAAACTGATTTTTATTAGTAGGAATCGTCTGATTAATAAATAACAAAAATCATTTTCTTATAACAATGATGTTGATTGGATGGACTTGTTACCAAGTATCTTGTCCATTTTAGGGTATTGATATTGTTCAAAGTTAATGTTTCTCTAATTATATCACTCTAATATACAAAGATGGCCCTTGTATCACTGGATTTTCTAAATTATAGTTGTAGTAAAGAACACAGAGTTTTAAACATATTGTGAACCAGAGAGTTTTTTTAAGTTCCACCAACTAATATATTTATTAACTAACATAAGAAATTGATCTTTAAAGATATATCTTTCCTAGACTGAGGAAGTTGATTGTTCTCTTATGGCTTGAATTTGTATTCTTACATAGTGTATAAAGGACTCACTGTTAGTTGCTCATTAATCTACTACTGAGATTTTAAGTTAATCTGGTTGCTGGACAGAGATTTTAGTAAGGAAAATGGGAGAAACAACTCTATTTTGAGGAAATAGGTAATTGGAATTACAAAATCTAGTGAGACGCGTACTCTTGCCGAATTTGGAGGGTTTTCAATGGAGGTTCAATAGAGGTCTTCTATTGAGGTCTTCAACAGAGGAAAAGTGTTTTCATTTGATTTCACTTCAGACTTTGGTTTTCAAGGGTCTTCACGTGGGTGGTTTTGCAAATGTGAAAGTTGGGTAAATCAAAAGTGTGTAGAAAGGAGGGTTAAGTGGTGTGTGTACAATAATTATGAGTGAATGATATAATTGTAACTTTTAATGTGTGGATTGAGAAAATTAATCAATAAACAAATTAATAGGTGCGTGTACTGAGAAAAAAATGTGCATTGAGATAATCAAGTGTGTGCAAAAATAATTTCTTGCAAGGTTGCCCTAAAAGTTTTTGAAACGCCTTGGCTTAAATTAAATGACATAAATTAAACTATTTTTTTTTTTGATGTAAAATATTTTAAGTCCGAAAATATTTTTCATGTAAATTTGTATGAAAAAAATATTTTTCCTTTTGGCTATGTTTATTACAACCAAAGATATTTTTCATATAAATTGATTTTGCACAAAAAATTATTTTTCTCCTTATTTTTCAGTATTTTCAGTATTTAGTTGACACTTAAAATAAAATTTTTGTATTGTATGCTTTGGGTAGAAAGGTAACGAAGCTACCATTTTACGTCTGAAAATATCAATGTGTGGAAAAAGCCAATCTAAAAGTGAGTTTTTTAAAAAATAACTTACGAAATTTTTAATAATAAGTCATTTTAAAAAGGGGTACTTTTTTATAAACTCTTTTTTATTTACTCATATTTTATTTAGTCTATATTATTTTTTTATATTTCAATAAGTCTTATGAGTGATATAGTTACCAAAATATTCTTAATAATATTTACATTTATAGTATGAATGTTCCGTAATGTGAATGTTCACTGTCAATGTGAATATTCACATTGTAAAATATGAATGTTCATATCGCCAAATTGGTAACCGTTCAAAAAATATTTATAACGGTGGAAATGTCCATAAAATATTTTAAATATGAGAATTAAGATTTGATAGATCAAATATTCAAATAATAGGACTTATTGAAAAACAAAAATATCTTATAGACTAGAATACAAACACTTAAAAAATGATTTTCTAATAAATTTTCATTTTAAAAACTATTTGTTTAATCAAATAACAAAAAAAAAAATAAAATAATTTTAAAAAAAGAATTACGTGGAAACAAACTCAACCTAATTAAAAATTACGGCTCCTTGGGAAAAAAAATGTGGAATGATAAGCCACAAATTAGTGGAAACTAATAGATGGTGGTTTTATGCTGGAAAAAAAGAAAAAAAATAAAAAATAAATAGATGGTGGTTTTATAGCTATAGTGTTGTGTCAATAATTTATTTTAAAAATTTTATTTATCGCTGACAGAAATTTAATTTAATTAAATAATTATTAATATTTGATCGATATAATTTTTTACATAATTAAAAATATTTAATAAGCTGTATTTATTGAACAATTTAAATCATTAAAAAATGTTACACGATAGGCCTGAGAGGTCCAACAACACGCCTCAGTACGAATTCGAACAGAAGCGAAGGCTAATGCTTTTTGAGGAAAAAAAACATCTTTTCTTTTTGTTTTTTCCAAGAAAACTTTCTACTCAATTCCATCTCTTCCACTGTCGCCCATCACGTTTGACCACCGTATCGTGAATACCAAATAAGAAATATTGGTATTATATGTATCAATTAGTATATTAATTAATATATCGAAATTAGTTATTATATTATTATTGACTCCATTAATTAATTACATTACAATTATTAATTTTTTTTTAAAATTTTACTACATCATTAATTGATATACTAATTAATACATATATCATCATTCAATGCCTAATGATCTCTAGGCAACACTTCAGTCACCAACTCCAGCGATCACCTGTGACCACCTCATTATAGGCGTCTAAGGCCTTTTTGGGAACTCACCAAACACGCCTTTATTTTTGTTTTTATTTGTTTTAAGAAAAGGTCAATACCAGAGACGATTCTCTAAAGTAATCATTAATGATGTGACACTCATTTTTTAAAAAAAAAAAAAAAAAAGCCAGAAACAAAAACATTATGACAGTGGATTTTTTAACCTACAAGTCTTGTAGGAACTCCAATATTCCAATCTTAATTTTTAAAATTTTTGATTTAAAAAAAAAAAAATCTCAGCATTTATTGACTTCTTCCAATCCACAAGTCTTTTTGACTTCTTACATACCTACTGCAGCACTATTTTAAACTTCTCCCATACACTATGGTTTGGTGATGAGATCGTTAAATTATTTTATAAAAATCTTTAAAAAAATAATTTACGTATTAAAAAAATATTTAAATAAATATAAATTCTTATTAAATCTATCTATCTATTTATCTATTATATAAGTAAAAAGGGGTTTCTAACCACAAATTTTGTGAGAATTTCAATATCTCAAACTAAAATTTCTAATTTTTTGATTTTAAATAATTTAAAAAACTCTATAGCTCTCATTTAAGCAAAAAAAATAAAATAAATAATAATAATAATAAATAAATTAATTAATTAAAATAAATATGTAAAATAAAAAATAGAAAGTATACTAATTCATTTCAAAATTTAAATTTGAGGGGCAGTAAATATGGAAAACATTCTATATACTATTATAGTTGCAAAATATTATCATGTCGTTAAGGTTGAAAGTTGTAATTCTTTTTTTTCATTTTTTTTTATTTTGTTTATTTTTTTGTTTATACGTGTCACAATATGATTGGTCTAAAAATTAATTTTATATTCTTAAATTTTTTTTTCAAATTTGGATTCTTACTTAAATTATGTTACTATAATTGAAATGAGATCAATAGTCATTCTTTAAAGTTTGCATCCTTTGTTAAATTATTAAATAAAATTTCAAATTTAAATTCTTCTTCATAATATATTACTACAATTAGAATGAGATCAATATTCACATGTGTCATAATAATGCGTCATAATATTATTAGTCTAAATATAATTTGTTTTAAATACATGTGTTCAAATTATTAATCGCTACACTTTGCTTGGCTCCATTTTTCTAAAAATACTTTTCAAAAAATTATACTTTTTTTTTCCGTATTTTTTTATTTTTACTGAATTTTTTTAATATTTTAAGCAATTTTTTTTAAAAACTTTTTAGACATACCTAACATAAATATACTTAAAAAGTAAAAAAAAATTGTGAAAAGTTTGCATCCTTTGTTAAATTATTAAATAAAATTTCAAATTTAAATTATTCTTCATAATATATTACTACTACAATAAAACTGTGATCAATATTCACACGTGTCATAATATTATTGGTCTAAATATAATTTATTTTAAATACATGTGCTCAAATTATTAATCGCTACACTTTGCTTGGCTCCATTTTTCCAAAAATACTTTTTAAAAAATTCTACTTTTTTGTTTTCCGCATTTTTTTTATTTTTACTGAATTTTTTTAATATTTTAAGCATTTTTTTTTATAACTTTTTAGACATACCTAACATAAATATACTTAAAAAGTAAAAAAAAATTGTGAAAAAAAACCTTTTAAAAATTCACTAAATACCACAAATACAAAAAAAAAAAAATGAGAATTCAGTATATTTTTTGTATTTATATGTATTTATTAATTTTTAAAATATTTTTTTACAATTTTTTTACTTTTTAGATACATCTAAGCAAGGTGCATCTAAAAAAGTAAAAAAAATTCTTAAAATTTTAAGAATATTCACTAAAAACAAAAAAAACAGAAAAACCAGAAAACTCAATTTTCAATAAATTTAATCCAAAAAACTCAAACCAAACACACTGATTTTTTTTTCTTTTTTTATTTTAAATTTTATAAAAAAAATTATATCCTTCTAAACTATAAGGACTTGAACAATAACATTTTTTAATATAATTTTTTTTTTTTCACAAAAGAACAAAACATAACTTTTTTAGTACTTACCAAACATGGTGGATTTTGTTAGATTTTTTTTTTTTTAAAAATTTCAATTGTCAATTAAAGAAAATTAAAATAAAGAATAAAGATATCTTTGGTTCAAAGTGTTAAAAAGTTAGTTTTGCTAAAATAAATTAGGAAGAAACGTTGATTTTTTTATTATTTTTATTTATTAAAAGTGACAGTTCGTTAAAATTTTTTATTTAAAAAAAGAAAGAATGAGGGTTATAGGTGATAATTTATTATTCATCTAGAATTATTTTTAGATTAAGTGAAAATATCATATTTAAATTTTAAATTTCTTACCTTTTTTTATTCAAATACTTTTATTTTGTAAGAAATTTGTTTTATTTTATTTAATATTTTATTGTAATTTTTGAATTAAAAATAATTTCAAAAAAATCATATTTAAATTATTTATGCTATTATAAAAAGTAAATTTTTTTAATATCAACTTAGTGGTAGTTTGGGAAGTGCCAAATGAGTATACTTTTTTACTTTTTACAAAAATATGTATAGAAAAATAGAGATCTGATGTGACCCAAAAAAGATAATTAAGTATATTTTTTTACTTTTTATCAAAAAAATGTGTAGAAAAGTAGAAATGTAATGTAACCCAAAAAAGATAAAAAGATTTAAAAAAAAAAAGTGTGCTAATATGGCACTTCCCAAAAGTGATGATCCATTTCTAAAAGGCGTATTTTTTAAATATTTTAAAGAAAAATTCTACTGAAAATCTTAAGTATATTGCTTTTTTTTTTGTTCATTAATATTAAATTTTTAATTAATTTTATTTGTTATTTTAAAAAATAAAGTAGCAAATAATTTATATATTTATATAATTTTGTTTTGGTTGCTCAGGTTATTATTTGATATTTCTGCCCAAGTCTACTCAAATTTAATTTAAAATTTTGAATTTCTGCATAGATCCTCACTTAATTAAAAACTATATAGTTCAATCTTTATAAAAATTGAAGCTCTGACTCAAGTTGCTTGGGTTGAGCCCACT